CTCCACACTTTAAAATAATTCCGAGTTCGTCCGTCAGTACTAGGAAAAAATTCATTCTCACCCCTCGAAAATTGATAACAGATATTTAGAGCTCCTCCATCTTTAATAGGACCCTTCACCCTTCACGAGAGGTTCCTTCCCCACCCCAGGAGAAAATGTAGAGTTTATCTGTTATTGTTACCCTAAAAAATTTACCCCCACTCCGTGAAAACGTTAAACATCGTATTATGCATGTCAGTAAATAATTGATAATAGATATCGCGTGTTTAAAAGCAAAAAGTTATATATGCCAAAAATGGCCTTTTCCGACAAAAGGTCGTATCCGCCAGCATATACGACCTTTTGCTTTTAGGAAACCGATCAAAGTGAACCCAAAAAATTAAAATATCTCGAGTTTAGTTATCAGTGCAGAAACGACCTTTTACTTTTGATGAAGTTAGAAAAATGTCTCACCTAAATCGAAAAGGTCGTATATCCAATTTTATATTTTGTTTGCAGTTTGATATTTCCATCTTTGTGAAAAAGTTTCCTCCAATTTTACTCATTTCTCATTACAGAAATTAGAATATCCTCCTAGTCATTGAGAGGATGAGGAATATAATTCCTTTATGCGTCGAATGATCATGCGCCCATGAATTCACGATTGTTAATTATCATAATCTGAAGAAGTTTCAAATTCCCTCGAAACATGGTTCAGAATACACAGATAGAAAACGTGGATTGGCTTTAGAAAAATGTTTCTAAATTTTAGAAACTGCGGTTTCTAACCTTCAGTTTTCTAAAATCTAGAACTTTTTTCTAAGTTTTAGAAAAAAATAGTTTAAAATTAATCCCCATTTTGAACATTAATTTTAAACGATTTTTTTCTAGCTCCGTTACTAAATAGACTTGTTTAANTCCCCATTTTGATTATTAATTTTAAACGATTTTTTTCTAGCTCCGTTACTAAATAGACTTGGTTTAGAAAAAAATATTTTCTAAAATCTAGAGAATTTCTTTCATTTTTGGAGGGAGCATTTTGCAGAGAGGGGGAGGAGGGGTTGTGAATTGAGAACTGACAACCAAAAACAAGAGTCGGTGAGTTTTTCCAAAATATCTCCAAAACTAAGGGAGGTAGCGAAAATTTTCGGGAGGCGAGATGGTGGCAGGGGGGTATGGTGCATTGAGAATTCACAACCAAACAAAATGAGTCCGCGACTTTTTTAAAAATATCTCCAAAACTAAGGGAGATAGTGAATTTTTACTGAAAATTTGGGGAAGAGGGAGGTTTTATTGAATTCTCGATATACAACCCTCACCCTTCCGCAATTTTTCAGTAAAAATTCGCTGTCTCTTAGTTTCGGAAATATCTTTGAAAAACTCACCGATTCTATTCTTTTGATTGTGAATTCTCAATGCCCACCTCTCACCCCCCAAATTTTCAGTAAGAACTCGCTATCTCCCTTAGTTTTGGAGATATTTTTGAAAACCTCACCGACTCAATTTTTTTGGTTGTGAATTCTAAATTTAGAACTCCCCCTCCCCCTCTTTGCAAAAAGCCCNCCCCCTCCCCCTCTTCGCAAAAAGCCCTCTCCGCACATCTGAAATTCCCGATATTTGGGCACCCCTCCCTATATATGGGGCACTTACGCCCTTTAAATACCTCGGCCGCAATTTTTGAGTTCAATCTGAAACTTTTCTAAAATTAAAAAAAATTCAGCATTGGTTTCAGAAAATTTTTGTTCTTAAAAACAATTCTCAAAATCGTTAGTTTTTTTTGATCCCATCAAGGATAAAGCTTAAGAATTGGAGTTTCGAAAATCGAGAAACTAGTTTCTAATGTTAATCCACTTTTGTTTCTCTGTGCTGTACCTGCCTCTCCCATTTAACCCTCGAGAGTACACGGGATTCTTCCGATCACTGCTCTGTTGGACCCTTAACAATGAAGATCGCTTCAGTTCCCTAATTTCGATTTTTTTTAGAGATGCGTTCTTCTGTTACAAATACGTAATACACAAGCGTATCTTGAAAGAGTTATACAAGGGGTGATTAGTGCACCAAAAATGTTTAGAAAATACAAACATTTTGAGAGTTTTTACAATGTTCCGAAATAGACGAATCTAGATTAAAAATGGAGAGAAAAATCCCAAATTTTGTCTTTACGACCTTTTGCTTTTAGGTCAGTCTCCATNCACAAATGATGTTATTAAGTTGCCGATATAATTATTTGACCATAATCAAAGACACCGATAACTTCATGTGACATCAACTGGAATATTAAAGGTATAACTTGTCCACGGAATTGGAAACTAAAAAATCCCAAATTTTGTCTTTACGACCTTTTGCTTTTAGGTCAGTCTCCATTTCTGAGGACAGAAATTAAAGGCAAAAGGTCGTACATGGTAAAAAAAATTAAAAATTGTCATTAAGACCTTTTGCTTTTAAGGAATTTTTCATTTCTGGGGATATAAGTTAAAGGCAAAAGGTCATATATGCAGCTCAACATTAATCTGAAAATGTAGGTATTATAATAAGTTTCTCCAGTATTTTCACGCAGAATTGTAGAAAAAATGAGTGGAGATATGACCTTCTGGCTTTAAGAAACTCGGAAAGTAGCTTTTTGGCGTTTACGACCTTTTGCTTTCAGACACGCGATATCCAAGTGTCGTTTACTGTTTGGTAGAGACTAGGGGAAGGTGGGGTAAAATGGACACATTTGACTCTTTTTTTTAATATCAATGACAGGTTTAATTGTTTATGAAATGGAATATTTTTTTGTCAAGGAAAAAAACAATTATTTCCTTTTGTGAGGAGCCTAAACTGATCTCAATTGATAAATCTGTTTCTGAGTTATAAATATTTTTTAAAACGTCAAAAGTGTGCATTTTACCTCACCCTCCCCTATACTATAGATTTAACCACTTTTAATCGTCAAATTTGTCAATTAAATTAGGTGAGAAACATTTGAAAAAAATCATGAATTTTCAGCGTTATTCAATTACATTTTGCAAAGAATTATTTTTTTTTTACAAATTGTTTATAGATGAATGATTGAAATTGTTTAAATTTTCGGAAACGTAATTTTTTTAGGCACAAAATAGATTTCTGAGAAAATTTTCAATATGTATAAATTTAGTACAATTCCGAAAAAATTATTTTTATGGTGGAGAATTGATTGCTTAATAAATTGTTTATAGATAATGCTCATAATTTTAAAAAATTGCAATTTTTCAATTATTTCATCAATCTTCCTCTAAACGTAAACTTTCAAATTTTTTCGTCAGATTATTAAAATGTTTTCTAACGGTTCAATATCGAGATTCAAATGCAGACCTTCAAAGTTTAACTAATAAAATCATTGTAAAATGTCCAGAAGCTTAGGGTCAAATGGGGCTTAAATGAAAGCTCTGACAGTCGACTATAAAAGTATAAAAACATTTTTCTGGAGAAAAAATAGCCAAAGTACTTGAATATCCTTAATTTCCATCAATCTGCGAAATATGTGAAACTTTAAAGTACCTAATTGAGAACTTTCTACTAAATGGATATTTTAAAATTATATTGGCGAGTGAGGTAAAATGGGCACTTCAAAATTTCTTCAAATGAGATTGAATTGCCAACTCATTGAATTATTAATGAAAATTGATTTTTTTTCCGTGGAAAGTACGATTCTTTCCCCTCGTAATGACTACAGATTGAGCTCAATTGACAAACTTCTTTTTGAGTTATGGACATTGGAAAAAAAAATTAGAAGTGTCCATTTTGCCCCACCTTCCCTCCTATTTTTATCATTTTAGCTATTGTTTGGTGGCAAAAATATACTGTTTTCGTTCTTTTGTTTTCAATAATCGTGACATGTTCACTTATAATGGATATTTGAATTTTTTGCTTTTCTAAAATGATTTCACCTAGTAGTTGCCTTATTTCGGTGGGAAAGTGTTAAGCTGTTTTGAGATAATCGAGATAATGCATTATTTATCAAGTTTGGATAAATTGATTTGTTATGTTTTACCACTTCACTACTGATTCCATTGTCATATACGGAAATTCACTGTAGAGAATTCTTGCAGGGGAGAGTGGGGCAAAATGAAACAGTCGAAAAATGACTGTTTGGCGCAATTCAGTAGCAAAGCGGTAAACCGTGTTACGTTGATTTTGACTATTGGCCAGTTTTTTGACGAATATCTCGGAATCGAAAAGAGATTTAAAAAATTTGACATGACCCTTTTTGCAGAGCCAATTAAGCGTTACAAAAAAGGTCATGAAAAAAATTTTGCTATCTCTCTCAGATTCCGAGATATTCATCAAAAACTGACCAAAAGTTAAAATCGATTTGACCCGCTTTACCGCTTCGCTATTAAATTCAAGCGAACAAAATTTTTTTTTGTTAAATTTTTTTTTTTAATTAACTTCTGTTTATTAACTTTTTTTTATTCTTGAGAGTACTAATGAGAATAATAATTTTTCATTCAGTAGAATGAAAAATTATTCAGAAGTTCTGACGGGAGAAGATTTTGTCAATGGATTAATCGAAAACAAAATGAAACAGCAAAATCCAAAGTCCAGAGGAAGGTCCAGGGGGAGACCCAGAGGGAGAAAGAGGAAAATGTGATGCTGAATTTCAATCCAATGAAAAAAAGAAAAGTGTAATTGGCCTCATCTAACCACTTGAATTATAATCAACTGAGTTATAAGACGAATAGAAAATAATTATTCTCATCAATACTCCCAATAATAAAAAAAAGTTGATAAAAAAACATTCAATAAAAAAATTTTTTTTTGCTTGCATTGCGTCAAACGGTCATTTTTCGACTGTTTCATTTTGCCCACTCTCCCCTATAAAAGTTTCTTTCATAAGCTTTTTTATTACAGAATAAATATAAATATCAGTAATGTTCAAATTGATAACAGTAGTAATCGACTTGGAATAAAAACTTATCTCTAATAAACAATCTTTCGATAACTCTCAATGTTTTTTATCAATGGATTTCTCAAATGAGAAAAAAAATTTGGATTTCCAGTTCTGGAAAGGGTCATGGCGTTGGAAGTTCAAGCTCCGGACCAAGTGGCTCAGGAGGTGGAGGCGGCGGTGGTGGTGGCAGTGGAGGTGGTGGCAACGGGAGCAGGACAAGTTTATCACGATCACGAGCGCGAATAATGCGTAGCAGTTCAGCAATACGTGGTGGAAGTGCTGGTGGTAGCGGTTCAAGTGGAAGAATCGGACCACCTGGTGTCATCATGGGAGGTGGTACAAGTACGGGGGGTGGTAACAGTGGTGGTGGTAGTAGCAATAGTTCAAGACCAATTGTGTCAGTACCAGCCCCCTTCGTTCCTGAGGATTTAATATCACAGGCACAAGTTGTGCTCCAGGGAAAAAGTCGTAATCTGATAATACGTGAATTGCAACGCACCAATCTCGATGTTAATCTTGCGGTAAACAATTTATTATCACGTGATGACGAGGAGGGTGACGATGCTGAAGACGCAGCGGACAGCTACGTACCCGAGGATTTAATATCGCTGTTGGATGGTGGCTTCAGTAACGAGCATTCAGTTATCATTGATGCTGATTCAATGTTCTCAGAGGACGTTTTTGGTTACGGAGTGATGAGAAGTCGTGGCAGTTCATCGAGACGTCTCGGAGTGGAACGTGATGGTCCACTCGAGAGGGGATCTGGTGAGCGTGATCGTGAACGTGATAGTTTCAGCAGATGGCGCGATCGTCAGTACTACGGTCCACGAAGATGGCTTGAAACTGCTCTCAAGGATTGCTGGGAGAAAGATCCAGAGAACAAGAAGAAGGAACTAGCATCACAGAGCCCACTGTGGATCTCAGAGGAACTCGAGTGGTGGCACGAACGCAGCAGTGAACCAGCACCAAAATTCGTACAAATTGCAGCACTCTACACTGAACTAATTGCAATATCATCAACTGGCCAACTCTATCAATGGAAATGGGCTGATTCTGAGCCCTACAGGAATCTTGATAATCCAAATGTTCATCATCCAAAGACAGCATCCCTCGGTCTGACTGGTGAAAAAATAGTCAATATATCAGCAACAGCGATACGTTGTTCAGTTAGCACTGAGAGTGGAAAAGTTGCAACATGGTTGGACGAACTGCTTGGGCATGTATCATCACGTTTGGAGCATCCAGCACAAGCATTTACTGAATTTACACTCGATAGAATAGTATCTCTACACACATGCGCACTGTATACTGTCGCCAAATTGGAGAGTGGGACATTATATTGGTGGGGAGTGTTGCCATTCGCTCAGCGAAAAAAATTGTGGGAAAAATACAAAGCTAAATCCCGAAAACATCGGCCATCGTCATCATCATCATCGAGTGTTGTTTNAAAAAAAAAAACGTTTTACCGCATAACTCGGTTGAAAATGAACTTAGGCCCTTTCGCCAACGATTTTTTTGAAGATTTTTTCACGTATTTCAAGGCTATTAATTTCTTTCCCCTCGATTTTTTAAGCCAAATTGTAAAAAAAAAGTTTTCGAAAACATTTTTTTTAAACCGAAAAAACTATCAAAACTTCAAAAAGTCATAACTCCACTATCAATGGACATTAAGGGCTAAAAATTTGAGGGAATTTTTTTTTCATACCACTGATATTGGAAAAAAATCGGCAGCCAAATCCCTGACATCGAATTTTGTGCGTGCTTGATTTGACGTGGATCTGCCCAGGTATTATAATAAGTTTCTCCAGTATTTTCACGCAGAATTGTAAAAAAATGAGTGGAGATATGACCTTCTGATTTTAAGAAACTCGGAAAGTAGCTTTTTGGCGTTTACGACCTTTTGCTTTCAGACACGCGATATCCAATACTAAATGGAAAAAGTTCGTATTGACCGTTTTTTACGTCATCGAAGTATAAAAACGTTCGTATAAATCTAACCCTCCTGAACTGGCGCGTAGAGCGGCGCGCCGCCGCCAACTACTCAACCTATAGGGCGCCACTGCAGTGCAAGTGAGACGTAAGAGATCTAGCCAGTTCAGGAGGGCTAATCTAGGGAATATCAAATGTGGACGAATTAAGCTCTTTAACATCGTTGTAACTCAACTTTTCATGACAATTTTTTTCTAGCGCTTACGACCTTTTTCCATAACAATTTTTCCAACAGTGGAAAAATCTAAAAAAAAAATTCCATTGATTTCTCCTCATTTCGCTGATATTGGGTCAGTCTTTTCGAGAAATAAACATCATTGAAGACTTCACTTTAAGGATCAGAGCGATTTAATTAATTAACTAAAAATTTATATTTGGATATTCCAAGTTTTTTTTGCCAAAGACCGTAGCTAAAATTGCTCCCGGGAACAAATAAATATAAATGTATCGTAGGTTTATATTTAAGTAATACTCTTAAAATATTATTGAATCCGAAGATTAATTTAACCTTAAGGATAATCAAACGTGCTGGGAGGTTAACTAAAAAATTCAGTCAATTTTCTGTTTTTTTTCCCATGTATTGCTAAATTTATGGAAAACACGTGTGCGAAGTTTGAGACTGCTGCGGAGCATGGTTAATTTATCATGACATTTTGAAAAAGTGGTCATTTAACTCGTGTTCTGATGGAAATTAATGAAAAAAATTGCAAACCCAAGGAAAAAATGGAGCCAAAAGTCATAAAACTTCGCACACATGTAGAATATGTGATCACTGATTTTTCGAATAAAAAAATTAGTCGGATCGGAGCATTGTTCAATAAGAATAGTGAAAAAACCACTGAAAAATGAAATTCCTACGCACGCAGCTCATACGAGCAGCAACGTTGCAAGTACTGATCAGGTGGGGATAGTGCGGTCAATTCAAGCGTCTCTGAAGAGAGAGTGTTACAGTGGAGTTTTCTCTCTGGAACATGACCAATAAAAAAAAAGGGAGAATGAATAGTTTTAAAAAATGACAAAATTAGATTTCGCAAAACAATTTCAATTTTATTCATGCGTTGAACTACGAATTTCTGATACACGCGTATTTCCCCAAAAAAACATTTTTGGACATTCAATCACTGTTTCAGGTTATTAATCATACACGATCCACACATGACAATACTATGGGAGAGTAACTATCGCTCGAGCAAGTCAGTGGTACCAATTCCTACAGACCCAAAACCTAAACGCCGGCAACGTTGCCACTTTTTCACGTGGATTTAAATTTTTTCATTTATTTCAATAAAAAACCGTCTAAAAATAATTTAATGGGTGGAATAGATGGAAATAAATTTGGCTAGCTGGAGAAAAAAAATTTGGTCGAAAAAATTGCCCAATACTGCCGGAATTTTCGATCGGAATTGGAATAAATTTCTGGTGCAGGGGTTGGTTTTTTGCATAAATACAATAGATTCCCCTCCGCCTCCTCTCCATTTTCTCCTTGGCCGATTATCCTTAAGGATATCCAAGTAGTTCGGGCCATTTTTTCTGGGAGAAATCCTCTTCAGAGGTCATAAAATAGACCAAGAGTATTTTTTAGGCGCAGTATAAACTTTAGTTTCCGAACATATTTTCGAGAAAACTATTTTTGAAAAAATGAAATTTAACACATTGCGTCCATAAGAGCTGTATACTCCCACCTTGAATCCAATAGTTAATAGTCTTGAAGCGTTTTCTCGTACACATAACCGTATACACGGCTAATTTCGTTATCATTTTAATTTAAAAAATGGCACCATTCATGTAGAATAGCGTGAAAAAAAATTCTGAAAGAATCGAAAATATACTTGTAAGATTTTAGGGATAATTTTTTGGCCTATTTTACATGAATGGCGCAAATTTTTATAGTAAACAAAATGAAATTAGCTGTGTAGGAGTCGAATTTCAAAAAACTAATTCGTAATCGTTATTGTACACATTTTTTCAAAAATTTTGAAAAAAAACCTCTGTAGCTCAAAAACTGGAGGCCCTGAAGTATTTTCAACATTTTAAGCGTCTGCAGGGCAAACGAACAATAAACAATTAAATTTTTTGCACTAATTATTCGTTTTTAGACATGTATAATCGATCTTCAATGTATGAGAAATCTCATTCCAATAGCCCGCGACTTTTAAAACTCATAGTAGTCTGGAATTGTACTGAATTTCCAGTGAAACCTGGAATTTAATGATTTATTCCCCTAAATTGCATTCAGTTTCACTGTCCTGAAAATTGGTAGTCAACTGTCCATGAAATTTCATTTTTTTCACCAGTGTAAGCATAATTCACGTTTTGCTAAACGTAAATTACGTTTTGCTACATGTAAAATACGGTTCGTTTAGGCGTAATTTACGTTTTGATATACGTAAAATACGCTTTCTTTAGGCGTAATTTACTTTTGATAAACGTAAAATACGCTTCGTTTAGGCGTAATTTACGTTTTGATGAACGTAAAATACGCTTTGTTTAGGCATAATTTATATTTTTCTTTCGATCGTAAATACGCTTTTCGTGAGAAGACCCGGTAAACCGCGATTCTAACCTCGCTTCGCTCGGTTTGATCGCGGTTTACGGGCCTTCTGATGAAAAATTGCATTCATCACAAGGTCCACAAAGTATTTTCTGACGAATGTGGCTTTATAGGCTGAGCCGAAGGCGAGGCCTATAATCACATTCGTCAGAAAATACTTTGTGGACCTTGTGATGAAAATAACTATTTTTTAAATCCTAAATTGCAACTTTTATGACGGAAAAAAAGGCACTAGACATCATATTGACGTTAAGCGTAAATTCCGTTTATCAAAACGTAATTTACGTATAGCAAAACGTAATTTACGTTTAGGTTTTTCTGTGTGAAGTCCGGGAAAAACGTTCTCTGATAATATTAAATCTCAGCATTTCACAACAAACTGTGTCATCTGAGCATAACTTCATGGGACGCTCTTAGAAACTTTTGAGAGGAATTTTGAAAGTTCCAATTTGGATCCAAAAAGTTTATGAGACTTTTTCTTTATGATTTTTGGAAGAAATTTTGAAGATTCTAATTTTTTATTTAAAACTTAGTGAAAACTCTTCCTCACTGAATAGTAAATGTCGGCATTTTACAATAGGCTCAGTCATCTGAGCATAACTTTATGAGAGGTTTTTTTACTAATTTTTAAAGGCATTTTGAAAATTGAAAATTAGACTTGAAATTTTCTAAAATATGTTTCCTTACTGGATACTAAATCTCAGCGTTTCACAACACCCTGAATCTCCAGAGTTTAACTTTATGAAACGCTGTTTTGAAATTTTAGAGAGTAATTTTGGAAATTGAAAATTGGACTTGAAATTTTCGATAATATTATTCTTTACTGGAGATTAAATCACTTTTATCACTTTTATCGCTTTAATCAACTTTATGAGACGCTTTTTTTCAAATTTGGAAAAGAATTTTGAAAAATCTAAATTGGGCTCAAAATTTCGCAAAAACTCTTCCTCATTGGATAGAAAATCTCTACGTTTCAAACACGCTGACTCATCTGAGCATATCTTTATGAGACGCTGTTTTTTACACTTTTGATAGGAATTTTGTAAATTCCACTTTGGACTCGAAAACTTCGAAAAAACTCTTCCTCACTGGATAGTAAATCTCGACCTTTCACAACACGATGAGTCATCTGAGCATAGCTTAATGCTTAACGCTTTTTTTTTATTATTATGTGAAAGCGATTTTGAAAATTGAAAATTTTGGACTCAAAACTTAGAAAAATCTCTTCATTATTACATAGTAAATCTCGGCCTCTCGCATCACACTGAGTCATCTGAGTATAACTTTATTATACTTTTTTTATATGATTTTTGAAAGGAACTTTGAAAATTTGGACTCAAAAAGTTATAAAATACTCTTCATTACTGGATAGTAAATCTTGGCGTTTCACAACATGATGAGTCATCTGAACATAATTTTATGAGAGGTTTTCTGTATAATTTTCGTGAGGAATTAAAAAAATTGAAAATAGTACTTGAAATCTTTAAAAATGGTCTTCCTTACCGAATACTCATAATTACTGGATAGTAAATCTCGGCGTTTCACAACACGCTGAGTCATTCAGCACAACTTTATGGGACGCTCCTTCAATTTTTAGAGAGGAATTTCGAAAATTCCTATTTGGACCCAGAAAGTTTGAGACTTTTTTTCTACGATTTTTGGAAGAAATTTTGAAAATTCAAAATTGGACTCAAAAAGTCAGAAAAAACTCTTTCTTGCTACATACTCACTCTCGGTGTTTCACAGCACGCTGAGTCATCAAAGCATAACTTTTATGAGATGCTTTTTTTTCAATTTTTGAGAGAAATGTGGAAAATTCCTATTTGACCCCAAAAAATCAAAAAACAAATACACTGTACATTGTTTGTCCCGAGAGGACCCAACCGACGGTAACTGGTATCG